TGTAAGTGTAACAATTGTCCAATAGTTATGAGGATACAGTCGCTACAGATAAAGGAATAAATCCCTGTAAATTTAAGATTGGATATACAGTTTTACTTTTAAACGAACCAAAACGTGGTCCTTTTTCACCAGAGTATACAGGACCATATAAAATTGTACAATTGAGCGAAAACAATAATGCTATTATTAAAAACGAAAAAATTACTCGTACTGTGCATACAAATAAATTGAGGCTGACTCGTCTGCGACCTCCAAGCGAATATGACTCTTCCGAGTAATTTCTATTTTGCAAAAAAAATAATAATAATAATTCTTTTATAACAAAAATTTATATATATATATATTTTTTTTTAACAAGAACTTTAGTTAAATTTGCCGAAAATGCAATGACGAAAGTCTGGTCATATTTTTTGAAATTTGGATCTTTTAGTGCTGGATGCATAGCAGTAGCAATAATTTTTGGATTGATTAAATATGCCGTTAATGTCCTATTTTATGGTTATGCTCTTTATCGAATTTACGGTTTCGGAATAAAATTGATCGCTGCATTTGTAAGTGGCATTGCAAACTTTCTAATTCATTTAGGTACAAATAATATTAAAAGAAAAGAGAAAAAAAGAAACAACGACGAAGAAAATCCTGCACCTTCTACGCCCCCACCTTCACTTCCCTACACGCCTCCCTCTATACTTCCGCCACAATCCCCACCAATTGTCCCACCTAGAAATTTACAAGGTCCCACATATCCAAAACTAAATGTTTAAATATTTAAGAAATGGTTGCCTGGTAGAACCCATGTTTTGCACTATTCAATGGGGGAACATAAATGTCAAGTTTTATATTCAAATTAAAATTCATCTTCGCATTTAGAAATCCAATTGTTTTAATATCGTAATTTTTCCGAATGCAAAATATATCTCTCTCTAAATCTCTCTCTCCCCCCCTCTCTCTCTCTTAACTCTCTATCTCTCTTAACTCTCTATCTCTCTCTCTAAATCTCTCTCTCTAAGTTTTTCTCTTTCTCCCTAAATCTGTACTTCCATAAATCTCACTACGTCGAATAACACCGTCCGACAAAATTCAACTTTATTTTTCACACACGAAAAAATCAATGATTTTCAGAAACTAGGACCAAAAAAAAGATACCCGTGTTTGGCAGTTTTGCTAGATCAGGTCATTTTTTGCTTTTAGGGGTAAAAACAACCCTTAAATGAAAGCTGATAGGAAATCTTGTACAAATTAATAATTTTTTATGAAACCTGGTATCTCGGGGTTTTCCGGGTCGCTGATTACGAATCTGATGTCAGATTTTCAAAATTCAAAATGGCGGATCCAATATGGCGGTCGAAATTTATAAAAATTCACCAATTCATTTGAAAGTTGTTACTTAGGGGTTTTTGGGGTCGCTGATTACGAATATGATGTCAGATTTTCAAAATTCAAAACGATGGATTCAATATGGCGGTCGAAATTTATAAATGTTCATCGAATTCACTTGAAACCTGTTACTTGAAGGTTTTTGGGGTCGCTGATAACGAATATGATGTCAGAATTGAAAATTGAAAATGGCGGATCCAATATGGCGGTCGAAATTTATAAATATTAATTCTTTTTTGTAAAACTTGGTATCTAGGGGTTTTTGGGGTCGCTGAGTACGAATCTGATGTCAGATTTTTAAAATTCAAAATGGCAGATTCAATATGGCGTTTGAAATTTATAAAAGTTCGTCGAATTCACTTGAATCTTGTTACTTGAAGGTTTTTGGGGTTGCTGATTACAAATTTGATGTCGGGTTTTCAAAATTCAAAATGGCGAATCCAATATGGTGGTCGAATCTTAAAATCGTAAAAATAAGCTTCTAAAATTTACACAAACGTAATACAAGAGTTGTTATGAAATGTTTCTATTAATTTTATTTTATTGCATTATATTTGTTTAATAAATTTTGATTATAACCTTTTGAATTTATTAATTCTAATAGAAGCTTAGTTAATAAATATACAAATTTTTAGATTAAAAATCACTTAAAACGAAAATTTTAAAATGTTGGCTTGCAAATTTTAACAAAAAATTGATCGAACATTTAAATTTTCCAAATTATTTTTCAGATTTGTGATCTTCACCTTTATTAGATTTGGCGTTTTTATTATTCTTATCTGACATCACTTTCGTACTTAGAGACGCCGAAAGCCCTTAGATACCAAGTTTTATAAAAAATTAACAATTTTTATAAATTTCAACCGACATATTGAGTCTGCCATATTGAATTTTAAAAATCTGACTTCAGATTCGTACTCAGCGACCCCAAAAATCCCTAGATACCAAGTTTTACAAAAAATAATTAATATTTATAAATTTCGACTGCCATATTGGATCCACCATTTTGAATTTTGAAAATCTGACATCATATTCGTAATCAGCGACCCCAAAAACCCCTAAGTAACAACTTTCAAATGAATTGGTGAATTTTTATACATTTCGACCGCCATATTGGATCCACCATTTTGAATTTTGAAAATCTGACATCATATTCGTAATCAGCGACCCCAAAAACCCCTAAGTAACAACTTTCAAATGAATTGGTGAATTTTTATACATTTCGACCGCCATATTGGATCCGCCATTTTGAATTTTGAAAATCTGACATCAGATTCGTAATCAGCGACCCGGAAAACCCCGAGATACCATGTTTCATAAAAAATTATTAATTTGTACAAGATTTCCTATCAGCTTTCATTTAAGGGTTGTTTTTACCCCTAAAAGCAAAAAATGACCTGATCTAGCAAAACTGCCAAACACGGGTATCTTTTTTTTGGTCCTAGTTTCTGAAAATCATTGATTTTTTCGTGTGTGAAAAATCGTGTCGGACGGTGTAATAATATAAATTATGTTAACCTAGTACAAGTAAATAAAAAAAGTGGTTTAACAAGAGAAATCTACACTTAATTATTATTAGAAATCATAAAAAGGTTATTAGAAAACTCTATATATATTTTATGTTACTATAAATGGTCTAAAATACTAGACCCATAAAAATGGATCTACAATATTGAGATCGACACGTCCTTATGTTTCAAAGATATAAAAAATAATAAGTGTAACAAAAGAAATCTACATTTAATTGTAATTAGAATTATTATAAACATTATTATAAAACTTCATATATATATTATGCGTTACTATAAGTGGTCTACAATACCAGATCTATAAAAATAGATCTACAATATTGAGATATACATGTATTTACATTTCCGAATCAAGAATGAATCAAGTAAAGAAAGATGTCAATGAATTTGGAACATAAATTTTGTCGTTATAAAATAAAATTTACTTGCGTTTGTAAAAATTATTGACGCTTGAAAAACCATAAAAGTTTCTTTTTCTTTTCGCAAAACCTTAGTTCACTTGTGAAGCCGGTTTTGCTCTAATCAATGGGGGTGTAACGTCCCTCATAAAATTTTTTCAAAATATATTTTAATTTAAATAAAATAATGTATTTAAAATAAACAAATATGATTTATTATAAAAGAAATTTGCTTAAATTCAAACAAATGTAAAAAGAAGCTTTGAAAGGAAATATAATAAGACTCTCGGAGATAACGTCGGCTAAGAATGTATTTTAAGAATGACTCTGAACAAAAGAATATTAAATCTAAAAAAAAAACACAATAAATTAATACTTCATCTGTAATTGTTGCTTTCATATTTATTTCTACGAATATTAAAATAAATAATAACTAATAACAGGATAAATGTTCAAAAATAAAAGAATTAATTTTTTTTTCGAGTTTTAACAATAAACTTCTAAATTAAATTAGTTATTACCTTTATTAATATATATAATTTACTAAAAATATATAATATTGATTATCGGCAAGTGATTGTCTTATTAAATTAGAAATAAATTAAAGAAAAGAATTTGAATGTATAAGTAAGAAACCAGAAAAGAAATAAAAAGCAAAACATTATATCTGAGGAACGGCCTTCCGCATTCTCCGCAGGGACATCGAGCGATATTTGATACTTACTATAGCGTCTGACATCGACAAGTGTACAAAGAAATAAAGATTAAGAAATGTTGAGTGCGAGATTCAAAATCAAATTGCATATTCATTTAAACAAATTTATATACTTGCTGAAAATAAATTATTTAACTATTTTGAACCTATTAAATAACAAATTGTTCAAAAACTATAATAAGATTATAGATTATGATAATGAACACAAAATACTAATAAATAAATTTGTTTAACTGTGATGTTGAATTAAAATATAAGGAATTTGAAAATGATATACTGTGAACGGCGTTATCGTAGTTTCCCATGTTGCCAACTTCTGAAACGAAATCCTACCTTTGAAATAATAATGACAAAACGCTGAGTCCAAAAGAAGTAAAATCTCACATTTAAAAGATTTTCGGTTGTAAATTTATTTTCTTTCAGAATAAAATTTTATACAAATGTAATCGAATAATACCGACAAATGACAATAATCAATTAAAAAAAAAACCTATTATTACTACCATTAATTTTGTTTAAAGGAAATTATTACAAATACATATCATGAATTTTATGAATTCCAAAATTGGTGAATAACAATCTTGTTTTTTGAACAGTAGAAATGTTAAGGGATGAAAACAAATTAGTAAAGAAAGAGTATAAACTTTAAAATTGTAATATTCGAAATAGGAATAAAATTGTTCCAACTACTTCAGAAGTCGCATGTAACATTATTCCGTGAGGAGATAAGGAATGGAGATGATAAACACGTGCACGTGCACCCAAGTACAAAATAAATTATGTCCACGTTTTTAAAAGAAATAGAAATAATATTTTAAAATTTGACAGAGAAAATTGATTATTAATAATTAATGTATTTTAAATTTGAATTTCCAATACAAATTAATTATATATATATATATATATATATATATATATATATGTATATATATAAAATTTTTAATATTGACTTTTCAAACTGAATATTAAAAACTTGTGCATAAATTTTCTAACTTACATTAAGTAATTCATCTTGTGCCATTGCAAGTGTCTGATTATCATGATGAGTATCATCTGCATTTTTTGATGGTGCCAATTGCATATTTCCGCGTTCAATGCCTTCAGTATTACAGTTACTTTTTGTCTGCATCGAAAACACAGTATTCTAGCATTACGAACAATACACCATTTTGAAGATTATGAGAAAATTTAATAGACGCTAAAACTAATTTCTTAATTTATTAGAAAAGTAATTTTCTTAAATGGAGAATACACGAAAGAAATAAGTTCATTAAATTGTAGTTGACAGATTTTTTACGTTTGGATAGAACAATAATATTTTTGTTAATTATTGTTTAATTGTTTTGTTAATTATTTTCTTTAATAAAGAATTGCAGTTCTAAAAACTATAGGATATTAGAAAAAAATTTGTTTTTATAAGTTCACCTGATGAATATTTTAGAAATGATATAAAACTTCAAAAATTACGCAAGGTGAATTTTCGCTATTTTTAAAATGTTAGAATACATTACTTTGCTTCATAAATAACTATATATATATATGTGACGCTCCACGAGAAAAGGGACCTATCGCGACAAAAAATTAATTTTAGTTTTATATGCGAATCGATAGTATTTGAGTTGCTCTTTCATATAGAAATGTCAAAAATAATGTTTTTCTAATTACTTTTTTTGTAATAAAGCTTTAAACATGACCCTGTCAATCGCGTTCCAGCACGGACTACGGAAACCATCCCCACCACCACTACACTAGTATACTTGTTGTATCCGTGAGACGTAGGAACGATGTAGTAGTAAGGTAGTGGGGCTGATTTTCGCTGGCGCGTCTCAGCCAATCAGAACGTTCGACTTTAAACGCCTTTCCTGTATAATTCTGTTTTGTCGCGATAGGTCCCTTTTCTCGTGGAGCGTCACACACATATATATATATACATAGTTATTTATAAAGCAAAGTAATGTATTCTAACGTTTTAAAAGTAGCAAAAATTCACCTTGCGTAATTTTTAAAGTTTTATATCATTTCTGAAATATTTATCAGGTGAACTTATAAAAACAAATTTTTTTCTATATAATAAAAATATTATATTTATATATTATATATCATTACTATATTATAAAAAGATATCGCCGCCGATTCAAGAATGAACGCTAGGGGAGAACTTCGACGCTACGCGGGAGCTCACAGTACTCGCCTACCGTTCAACTCACGAAGTATTCAGACTCGCGTACCGTTCAGAATTTGTCTCAAATGAACACTAGGCGAGAACTTCGACACTACGCGGGAACTCGCTGTACTCGCCTACCGTTCAACTCACGAAGTATTCAGACTCGCGTACCGTTCAGAATTTGTCTCAAATGAACATTAGGCGAGAACTTCGACGCTACGCGGGAGCTCACAGTACTCGCCTACCGTTCAACTCACGAAGTATTCAGACTCGCGTACCGATCAGAATTTGTCTCAAATGAACACTAGGCGAGAATTTCGACACTACGCGGGAACTCTCTGTACTCGCCTACCATTCAGCACGCAAAGCATACATATTCGCGTAACGTATGCCTCAAATAATAAACCTGAAATAATAACAGCCTCAAATTTACGTCAAAGGTGATAGGCATGGAGGCGAACATAACCTCAAAATTTTGTCAAATTCATAGAAAAAAATACTGACATAACCTCAAAATTAGGGTCATCTTAGATATAAATAAATTTTTTTAAAAGAATTTGGCAAAAATTAATCTTTCAAAACTTATTCCGTTCCTAATTAACTTTTTAATTGCAAAATAGATGAAAATTTAGTTTACGGATGCAGGTTAAAATATAGTTTATGTTCATATTAAAATATAAATAAATTTTTGCTGTTCAAATGTAAAAACTTTTGATTAAAAATAAATTTAATCAAAATAATATTTAATATTTTTAGTGAATTTATATTATAAAAATATATCGTCGCCGCCGCTGATTTAAGAATGAACGCTAGGCGAGAACTTCGACGCTACGCGGGAGCTTACAATACTCGCCTACCGTTCAACTCGCGTAACGTTCAGAATCTTCAAACATAACCTAAGTTTTTAACCTAAGTTTTGAAAAAACCTGAGTGTTTTCAAAATATTTCAAAATATAAAAAGAAAAAAAGTAAAAACTTTTTTTAAACAATTGTTAAAAATTAAAAATTTTTCTTAAAGAATTTGGCTAAAAACCAATCTTTAAAAATACGTTAAAACTTATTACGTTACTAATTACATTATTTTTTAATTTCAGAATAAATAAAAATGAAGTTTACAGATGAGAATTAAAATATACAGGTCTATATAATTAAATATAATTTTAAATAATAAATATTATTATTTATAGGGGGTTGGCGCGCGAAGCGCGCAGGGGGGCGAAGCCCCTCTAGTTTTTATATATTTATATTATTATATTATATATTTATTTTATATATATATATATATATATGAACGACCGCATGAAAAGGGACCATTTTGGCTCTATTGGATTTATCTATATAGCCAAAATCCTTGCTAAATTTAGAAAATTTTGAGAGGTCTTACGACCCTTTAGGTGCAAAAATGGCCTAGGTACAGATTTTCAAAGTTCGGAATGTCAAAAACCTCATTTCGCGAAAAACGAAATCACAGATTGTAATGTGAACATCTCGTGTTCTTCTGAAAAGTTATTCAGATGACAATTATTTTATGTCCAGGACATGCATAAGATGAAAAAACAATAGGTCTTAAAAATCCCCCCCCCCTCCTTTTCGAAAATAAAAAGGTTCCGACGAAGTTGTCCCTTTTCTATATAATAAAATAAATATAATATTAATATAATATTTATTTATAATAATTATATGAATATAATTTTTAATAAATATTGACTTTTCAAAATGAATATTAAGAACTTATGCATAAATTTTCTAACTCACATTAAGTATTTCATCTTGTGCCATTGCGAGTGTCTGATTATCATGATGAGTATCATCTGCATTTTTTGATGGTGCCGATTGCATCTCTTCGCGTTCAATGCCTTCAGTATTAGAATTACTTTCTGCCTGCTTCGAAAACGTAATATTCTAGCATTACGAACAATACGGCATTTTGAAGATTATGAGAAACTTTAATAGACGCTAAAACTAATTTCTTAATTTATTAGAAAAGTAATTTTCTTAAATGGAGAATACACGATAAAATTAAATAGTAGTTGACAGATTTTTTACTTTTGGATGGAACAATAATATTTTCGTTATTTTACAAAATATTGAAAGATAATTAAAAGCCTTCTCGTTACTTGATAGAATGAGTAGTTTCGTGAAATTGTACAGTGTTAAAATAACGTATCATGTGTTACGCAATGGACAAATAAGCCTATAATTCAAAAACTAATAACGATTGTCATAAAATTGAGTAAATCTAAATTTAACCTGAAATGAGGTAAAATCAGTCTTATATATAGAATAATTGTTAAACAAGCATTGAGCAGATTCATGTTTTGAAAAACTAACGAAATCATTGTAAAAAAATAAAGACGTCATTTTTGAAACATAATGTTAAAATAAAAAGTTTAAGTAAGCTATTATTTTTAAAAAACGTACAAAAACTATTTTCTGACAATTTTCTATTCAAAACATAAAAGAATAACTTTTACAACTTTAAACATAAGGCTGATTTTATTTCAATTCATACAGGCTGAATTGGTTGAAAGTTCTAAACCATGTTTAACACTTTTTTTTCCCTGTTCTTTAGGACAAATAAAGAGACACCTATTTTTTTGTTCTGCAAAAAAAAAGTTTATTAATGAGTTACGAGCATTTGAAAATTTTAGACAAAAAATTATTTTTCAGCAAAGCGACTGATAAATTTTTTTTTCAAAAATCAATATTTTTCAATTCTGTTTCTTGTTTCTAGTAGAGTCTTTGTAGCTATTTTTTTGCAAACTGGATAATTAAAAAAATTATTAAAAATTAACAAAATTACGGCTGTTCAGGGAGGAGAGGGGGGGGGGTGGAGCAATTTGCTACGACAAGAGGAAAAAATGACGCTAATGATAGACTGCTACAGGGGGGAGGGGAGGTTACAATTCCCAAAAAATTGGGATATGTAATTTATGGACGGCACCAATACATTCTGTTTTTTGATTGTAGTATACAGTTTTTGATACTCCTTTTTTACAAATTTAAAAATTCTAAAAACTTTAAGAATTAACGAAATGGCGGCCATTTTTGCAAAATCAAAGAACTCGATTCTCTCAAAAAAATCATTTTTTCTTTTCTTGAAAATTTTCTGCTGTTACTAGTTCAAGAAAATTGACAAAACCTAAATGTTGATTTTAATTTTGTTAATTTTCAATATTTCCCTTATTTTTCAAGTATGAAAAGAAAAAGCTATAAAAAGACTACTAGAAACAAGGAACAGAATTGAAAAATATTGATTTTTGAAAAAATTAGAATGTTTTTGAGAAAAATTTGTCAGCCGTTTTGCTCTAAAATCACTTTTTGCCCAATATTTTTCAAGTGCTTGTAACTCAGCAAAAATTATTTTTCGCATAACAAATAAATACATGTCTTTTTATTTGTCTAAAGAACAAGAAAAAAATGTCAAACATGATTTCGAATTTTTAACTATTCAGCCTGCATCCCCCACAGCACCGAAACTTTCTTAAAAATTTCCTACAGATTTACTTGAAATTTTCGAAATATTTAATTGTAATTTTTATTAAACTTGTGTAAAGATTTAAATGTCCCACTTAAATCTTTACACAAGTTTAATAAACATTGCAATTAAATATTTCAAAAATTTCAAGTAAATCTGTAGGAAATTTTCAGGAAAGTTTCGGTGCTGTGGGGGATGAATTGAAATAGAATCATCCATAATTTTATTTTTAAGTGTTATGAAGTCCATTAATGTGGATTTTTTAAAAAATATAATTCTAATAATTATTTTTCATACCTATTGAATATTCAAAACTCAAAGATTTTTCTTACTCACATTGCTTGGTCCAGCTTGCCCCGTATTAATCTTGTAATTTACATCATAAGTCGTATTTTTAAATCTACTTGGCATTTTTGGATTTCTTTTCGGTCGTTTATTAACATGTTCAATAGTATCACTTTCCATCTGTAACGATATGTATAGCAAATGTTAAGAAGAGGAACATTATTGTTTAAGAACATACGGTGAATTTAAATAAGTACATGCTAAGAATATATTTGTTTAAATGAAAAATTTATAATACCCTTAAACAAAGAATGTATTCGATAAAGTGCCCATTAAATATTGCTTTGAAAATTCCCTTTTTTCATAAAATAAAACTTAAAACGTATAGAACGCAAAAAAAATTTTTGTTGTATTTTTTTCCTGAAATCTAACGAAATTACGAAAATAATGACAACTGATAGAAGATTTTTTGTCAATTTTCTGTAATATACAAAAAAATGTGAATTTTGCAAGCTATTCTTAATTTTTTAATTTATCGGAAAATATTTAATAAAGTGAAGTACTTACCGTAAGTTCTAAAAAGTTTTAAATATTAAAGAAATATAAATGACATAAACTGGAAGTAACTTTCAAGCACAACTGCTTAATAAGCGTGTACATTTACGAATTGAAATTCCACTATTTATTTATTGAGATTAACATAAATCAATTATAAATGTTTTTAATTGATTAGATGTACTTAAATTGTCAGTCGAATTTAATTATTTTGTTCTAATGTATACGACGTTACTTCATCTTGATACACAAAAGATTTTACAAGATCGTAAAAGATCTCATGAGACGGTTCATTATTATATTATGAATAATTGAAAACGAACTGTTACAGAAAAATAAATTTCTTTCATAATTTACAGTGAAAGCATTTTCTACAATTCACGTAATTTATAATAATGTTAAAACAAAAAAATAACTTAAGGAGATTACAAAGCTTATTACCTACAAGACTATCACTAACACCACTTTCACCCAAGCCGTGAAAATAATATTATAGACACTGTACATCGTCAATATTCGGAAAAGTCTTACTGCCAAACAATACAATGAGACTGATTTCTAGTCAATCAAATGATCATGAGAATTTTTGATAATCTCATCAATTTTAATGAAAATGTCGGAATATGTTCTCTTATATGTACAGAATAATACCCTATAAAACGATTTTCAAAATTTTCATAATATTTTGAGTTACCTCTAATTAAAAATTAGTATCCTCTTTCAAAACGTTCACCCTTTCCTCCCATAAAAACTGTTTGAAAATTATATAATTTGTTTACATTTAGTTTGAAATATAACTTTCTAAATGAATCCAAAATATACCTACTTATCAGAATTTGTTTATATCAAATTATCCCTTATGAATTAGAAAAACAATAAATATTATAATTTTTTATTCATTTTACATTCAAAGTTTATGTAAATTTATTTAAGAAATAAGGTCATAAAAAATCGGACAAGTGCAAGATGGACTCGCACTGAAGCCGAGGGTTCCTGCTTACTCGTAATGAATTTATTTTTTATTTCGCGCTTTTTGCAAAAAACCATATAAAGATAAATTCTAATCATTTTTTTTATTTCGAAAATTTTTTTTTTCTATAAGGTAAACGTACACAATTACGGCCTAGTACGTTATTACGTGCTATTTCTTTATACTAATTGAAATAAGAAATTGATAAAATGTTTCAACAAGTGAAAAATTGCAACACAAACTTTGCTATTTATTAGATCAATATTCTGTGTTTTAATTACATCTATTTTGTTTATGTATTGAAAATAAAAGTTTTTGTCAGTCAGTCGACGACTGAGCTTTGTGCAATACAATATACTGTAAGTGACAGCTAGGACTGAAGGTGATCTTCGTAAGGATATTAAAAGTGAAGTGTGTTTATTTTTTAATTTATTTTTTAATTTGTTGATTAATTATGATCTATTTAAATTATATTTTCTATTGCTGAATTATTTTTAAAAGTTTTCTTTATATAAAAATACTTTTTTAAATAGACGGAATTATGTTCGCTCTTCTCACACGAAGTACATTATTCCGTTTGAAACACGTAAATAGGGAATTACATTGTTTTATATTATACTTATTTTAATGAATCTAATAAGAATATTAAATGTGTTTACATTTTTTAACAAAAAATGAAATTATAAATAAACAAATGAGGTAATTGCGTACTAGTATTTTATTAACCATATTTGAAATATTTTATTAGAAATTATATGAACGGAATTAGGTTCAAAACATTTTATACATACATTCATTATTCCGTGCTATACGCCGTATTTAAGTTTAAGTAAAATGGAAAAAGAGTTTGTTCACAATTCTTTAATTTTAAACTTATTAATTATCATTTCAAGAGGCAAATTTTTAAAAGTATCGTTTTTTATAAGAATTATTAGGTATTGTCACGAAAATAATTCAAGCAAAATGTGAAAAAATATCAATTAAAAATTAATCAAATGAGTGGGACAAACTGGCGCTGGCTTGATAGAGACGATATCCTCATCTACGATGCTCAAGATGTTTTAAAAAAACTGAATCCTCTAGTATTGTTTGATGACCGTAAAGTATATATGTTTAATGATTTATAATATTATTTCAAAACAAGTTAATGAACAAAGCGAGTAACCAAAGAAGAAAAATAATGACTGAATATTACAAAAATTATCATTTGAATAAACATTATTTTATTTGACATCTGTGTAAAAAATTCCCTTTTAAACACAATCTTAAACTAATTTTAAGATTATGTTATTAATATTCTTATAAGAATAATTATTATCAAACAAATTGATATTTTATATATAAGTATGTGTGAAAACCTGGAATATGCCGCAATTATGGACAAGTTGGAACGGAATTAGTTACATGACAAAATTTTTAGAACGGAATTACATACAATTGAAAGGATTTAAAAAATATTAAAAAATAATATAAATTTAATTTTTGAACAGATATATAAAATGAAAAATTGAAAATGATTGATTAATTTTTACAATACAATTGTTTTCTTAAATTTTAAGTTACTTGATAAAATAAGAAAAATAAAATTCTCAGGAAGGGCCTTAACATGCCGTAATTGTGTACATTTACCTTACTTTTCCTGTAATCTACACGTGAAAATACACACATATGCAAATTTTCAGCTCTCTAGATCAAGAATTTTGAGCGTCAGGGGGTGGGGTACACCTGATATTTGAAGAATTGTTAAAAATTTCGAGTTTTTCCCAAAAATCGCTATAAGGATCAAATTTAATCAAGTTGGTTATATTTTTTTTGTAATCTACACGAAAAAATACATAATTATACACAACTACAGTCCTCTTGATAAAAAATTGTGAGCTCTAGGCGGGGTAAACTTATTTTTTAGTATTCACAAGAGCTTCTGAGTTTCTCGCAAAAAACGCTATAAAAATCAACTCTAATCACTTTCGCTATTATTTTCCTGTACTCTACTCATAAAAATACATAAGTATGTCAATTTTCAGCTTTCTGAAATCTTTTATAAATTTATTTTGAATTTTCTAACATCAAAAGTAATTTGGGTTTGTTAAATGGGAATAATAATTTCTTAAGCATTGTCTCACGTTGCTAATTGTTTACTGAATAGTTTGCTTTAAAAATTAAATGTTCATTGATATTTTTAAGTGTTTTTGATATTTTTAATAATTTTTATTTTGTCAACCCAGCTTCTTGGTTTAGTTTTTGCAAATATTTGGAAATTACACAAAAATAAACACTTATCCAATAGCTGACAATTTTTACTTGCATATAAAAAAAAAATAAATAAAATTACTGAAAAAGGGGAAAAAAAGAGAAAATATCTGCTTTTAGAAGGAAAAGAGGATTTTTTTTATTGAACGGGAGAAAAAAGGGGAAAAAGTGAAAAAGGGGACGAAGTGTGATCCCTGAAATTTATGTACATTTATATTTATTTATTTATATTTATGAATTTCTTTTTCATCTATTCGAAAAGAAATGTAAATAAATTTTTAAATTAATGTAAAGAAGTGTTACTCGACTCCTAAATCAAACAAACGATGCTTTACCCCATATGTGTTCTTAGGTTTTTGTTATAAAGAGAATTTTTTTTAAATATATCAATTGGCTTTGAGTTTCTCAAAGTTCTCAGAATTTTGATTTTTAACAGATGAAATTATAATAATATAAATCTAAATCTAAAATATATATCTAAATCTAAATATAAAGAATAAATGTAATTATATATATTTTTTAATAAATCCAGTTAATACGTGAGAATAATACATTTTTTCAATTAGTTTTGTATAATACTTTGTCAGAAGAACAACGCCGGATCCGTATTGCGAGCGACCCGCCACGCAGCACGAGACGTTATATTTTTTTCCGTAAAGCCATTGCTGTCCCACTCTCAAGAATTATTCTTGACATTCTAAGCAATAAATTAAAAAAATTTTTTGAAATCAAAAAGGCAGTTTTTGTTTTACATGAGTTCAAAAAATTTTCTGAATTTTTTTAGGGCAAAAAAAAATTTTTTTTACCGAACTGTTTTTTTTATTGAAATTCTATCTTATGAGTAATTTTAAAAAAATTTATCGTAATTGAATAGAAGGAAAAAAATTGCATAGTTTTTTTAAAAAATGTGTTCAAAATTTCGAATTAGAGATAACTCAAAATATTTAAAAAAAAATTTTTAAACCGTTTTATGGGGTCTTATTCTGTACATATAAGAGAACATATTTCGAGAGTTTCATTAAAATTGGTGAGATTATCCAAAATTCCTATGATCATTTTCCATGGAAATGCTCATTAGTTTAGTTTATACAATTATTTAATTAGAAATGAAAATTTAATAGATTTTTAAATTTACTTATCTTATGATTTTTTAAAAATACATTCTCGTTCCAATGATTTTTTTTAATTATTCAATTTAAACGAATGATGGCTTATTCTTTTCAAGAAAAGATTTTCTTCAACTTCACCGTTCGAATGTATGAAAAAATTTAATTATTTTACAAATAATGTAAATTGTTTACAAAAAAATTTAATTCTTTGCACACAATTTTTGTAAACAGTGTACATTATTTGTAAAGTAATTCACTTTTTTTATAAATTTGAAAGGTGAAGTTAAAAAGAATCCTTTTCTGAATAAGAATAAGCCATCATTCATTTAAATAATTTTCAAAAATATCTCTCGAGCGGGAATGTATTAAAAAAATTATAAGAGTGGTAAATTTAAAAATCTGTTAAATTTTCATTTCTAATTAAATAAATGTTATCTAAATAATGTAAACTCCTCTAGCGACAAAGAATATTAAAAAATTGATTCAGGAAATAAAAAGAAAGTATTAATAAGTTAAAAGTTTATCAAAGCTTTGAAAAAGCTCTGACCCATTTTTTGTACAAAAGAAATTCCTTAAAAATTTATTTTTTAATTCAAAGAAAGAAAAAGTATATTCATGCTTAAATCTTTTTATTTCACCTGTTTATCTTGATTAAAATGTATAGTAACAGAAATAGCACAATAGCCAAATAAAATTTCCGTTACCTAACAAGTCATTTAATTAAAGTTCACAGTGGTAAATAAAAGCGTGCACAAGAAGAATGAGGAATTCCAAGTGCAAGAAGTTATTAGAATCCAGGAAAATAAAATATATGGGGGAAAATTCCTGAAGTGGACGAGTATTAAAAAAAGTTTTTGGTTCGGGTTGTAATTATTACAAATTTTAGTACCATGGGTAAGTACTTCACCCACCAAATATTATCAAGTTTCATCAACAACTGAAGAAGGGGGAAGGGGTTGAATTTTTTGGTCAAACGTTAACAGTCAATTGTTTGAATAATTGTAACTTTTATATACCAAGCTGAAAAAAATTTTGGTATATATGTTTTCAAAAAGTTTTTTCCTTCTCTTTCAAATAGTGTAAAAAAATTTCGGAATTTTCAAAATTTAACCTTTTTCTCAAAATCAAAAATATTTTTGACTGTATCTCAAAAACGGCCCTTTTTAAAAATTCTTTTTTCTTTTTTAATAAATCTTAAAATATGTACTTTCAGTACAAAAATTTTGAGAATATCGTTTTTTTTTGTTTTCGAGATATTAATTAATTAATTAACAAAAATTTATAAAAATTAAAATATTTTATAAAAAAATGCAGTTGGGGTAATTCCAAAATTAGCAGTTTGAAGCTTATCAAATTCCGCGTCCAAGGAGCTCTATATGAAGTATTTTGAAATAGTAGATATCGAGTAATTAATTAATTAATTTTTATTAATAATTATTTTTTCGAAATCTAATAATCCAAAATACTTTATATAGGGCTCCTTGGATGCGGAATTTGATAAGCTTTCAGCTACTAATTTCAGAATTATCCTAACTTCATTTGTTTATAAAATATTTAAATTTTAATAAATTTTTGTTAATTAATTAATTAATATCTCGAAACAAAAAACGATATTTTCAAAATTTTTGTACTGAAAGTACATATTTTAAGCTTTATTAAAAAAATAATAAAATTTCTCTAACTTAATGTTACAAGAATATAAAATTTACAATTAAATATTACTTTGTATAGTTAATATTACATTTGTAATAAAACAAATAAGATAGTGAAAAATAAATATGATTAAAAGAGAAAAAACCATTTAATAGTTAAAATGCAAACAATTAGCAATGTTTCTTTTTCAAAAGAAGACACAAATAAAAAAATGAAACATTAAGGAAATGAGTAGCAGTTTTACTAAAGCTAACAGTAAAACGGCATTTTAGATAAAAGAATCATTTCTAACCACATGACCATAGAGTGAAATAGTCTTCACTTTTCCAAGACAAATACAGAAAAATTATAAAAGTAAATATAACTAAACGAAATAAAATAAACAATACAACTAACATTATAAATTATGTTATTGTGTTTTGGATTTAATTTGACCCAAAAAAGAAAATATTTAGCCAATTTTAAGATTGGCTAGAAATAAAAAAATTAGTAATAAGTTTTTTCGCCGCCCTTGCACGAATTCAGGACTATCTTTTCACGATGAAAAAGCTAATACCTATATGAGCTATTATGAATCTTGAAATTTAACTATATTAATGCCCAACTGTGCTCATTTCCGAATTAATTAAATAAAACAAAAGAGAATAATTGAAAAACTGGAATTAACACACAGACAAAAATTTTTTCAATTATTATACGAAATGTAAAACAATGATATAGAGCTTCAAGCAAACTCATGCAACGTAAACGAACATATGTGTGATCGCGTCTGAGAAAAAGGTGCTTACGACCAAAAAAAATAAGTCTTTGAAATTTGCAGTTGTAAGAAAGAAATAGAAATACGAGTTAAAAGAAAGTAAAATGCACTAAAGAAAATGTAATCAACTTACTGTTCAGTCGAATAATCTTCAAACAATTTTGATTGCAATTTAAGCAGACAAGGGCCAAAATAGCGTAAATGAAAATGACTGGCAAGCCAAACGACCAAAACGTTTCTTCTTCCGAGTAGAGGAACAATTTAGAGTGGGAGGCTATGGCCACACGCGCGGCACGTGCCGTAAAAAGCTTATATGTATTAGAAAACACACTCGCAGCTATCGATCGCAGGTTTACATGCAATGGGCCTGTCGCTGTGTGAGTATCGTACTCCCCACCACTGGCTCTCACACAGTCCTCGCGACTATGAGCACGTCTAGTCTTGTAGAATCGCTGGAGCGCGTTCAACCTGATGCACACATTTAGTCCCACACACGTAAAGTTTCTCCCCACTCTGTTCTCTTTGACGGGAACTGGGCTTCGAAAATTATCTTGCCAGTCGCGAATGACTTTACTAATAATATCTTTAGCGGATCAGTAACCCATCTTTTACAGGACTCGACTGATAGTGTTTTTGATGATAAATGTTTATGCTAACTTAGATTTTGCGAATTTTTTCAACTTCTTTTTATTAAACGCAACATTTTCGAATTTTTCTTTAGTGTAAAATCTGCATATAAGATGTGTCAAAACTCATTTCTCCATTTTTTCATACTAAACACACTTAGATAGAAATTTCTCTTTTTCTAGTACATATATTTTACCTATGAAGAATAAAAATAACTGAATTTTAAAACAGTCAAGTATGAATTAATGAAAGTTCTTTGTTTTTATGAATTAAATTATTTTTTTATAAATATATTAAATAATTTTTAATTTAATTAAATAAATTTATATCAAATATTAATATATTAAATAAATAAACAGAAAAGAACTAACGAATTAAGTTAAGAACTGATTTACAGCACAGATTTCGCCTTTTTAACATTTAAAAAAAAAATTTTATCACCTAAATCCCCTATTTCGCTAAATTTTCACCTAATTGTGAATTTTTCATCTCATTTATATTTTTGAAGTCAGAGCTGCAATATATCAAAATTTTTATCTATTGAAAATTCAATTACTTTAAATTTTAATCACGAAAAAATTCAAATCTAAATTTTTTATTAATTAAAAATTCAATTAAACCAAATTCCAATCAATGAAATTTTTAATTAAACGAAATTATAATAAATTAAAAATTAAATTATTCCATATTTTAGATAATTAAAAATTAAATTATTCCATATTCTGTTAATTTAAAAATGCAATTATTTTGAAATTTAACCATTTAAAAATTTAATAATTCTAAAGTTTCAAATTTTTAATAATCAAATTTTTAATTGGTTGGAATGTGTAGTCATTGAATTTGTAATAGTTTTGATTTAGGGTAATTGAATTTCTATTTCGCTAAAAGTCGTAATAATTAAATTTTAATCAATCAATAGTTTTGAAAATTTATTTTTGAGTTAGACTAGTTTTCAAACAGTTTTAAATTCAAACATTGAGCATTTTTTCAACTTAAAAATTATTTTAATCATTTGACTTAATAATTTTCTAAAAATTAAACGTAAATGCGTTTTTGATTTTGAATAATCATTCAATACGTCATAACAAAGCCACACAAACTAAAAAAAAAATTTTGTCCGACGAACTAGATTAGTCATTTTGTACGTATTTTGGGTCGCTGAATCCTAATCCGGGGTCGGAATTTAAAAGTTGGCTCTTATTTTTTAGATAAATTCAAAAAACTGCTCAAAAGGCATAATAAAATCAGAAAGTGAAATCCGAATCCAAAGTCAGAATTTTTAGATTCGCTCAAATTTTTGAGATAATTGAAAAAAACTCAAAATCAGTATTTTGGAATTATCATCAACATTTGAACCAATCAGGCAATTTTGACTACGAATTAGCGGGAAAAAATACATAGAAATACACTATCCCAGTGTTTCGACAAAAAAAATATCTTTGCACCTAATTCAGAGTTTTGATCAATTTTTTGCGATTATCTCAAAGAAAATTTGGTTTTGCCGAAACATTACAATAGTTTATTTCCATGTATTACCCAAAATACGTACAGAATGACTAGTCTAGTTTACCGGACAATTTTTTTTATTTTGTGGGGCTGTGTAATAATTGCTTTTATCCAATTAGTCGATTCACCTTACTATAAGGCTAATTCTCTTTAATAAAGAATTTAAGTTATAAAAACTGTAGGATATTAGAAAAACAATTTGTTTTTATAAGTTCACCTAATGAATATTTTAGAAATGATTTAGAGCTGGTTGTTCGATGATTTTCAAACAACCTGATATTATTATATAATCATACAGGGTTGCCACAGGTTTGGAAAACCGGGAAAAGTCGGAGAAATTCAAAAGTACTTGGAAAACCGTAAAAAGTAAAGGGAAATGATGAAAAAACCGGGAATTTTTTGCGACTTTAGCAGAATTTATTTTTAAAACAAAAAAAAGAGTATTGGGAATAATCGATATATATTTTTTCGATCAAATTATACGTTATTTTTCAAATATACTTTTATTTTTCATGACGTATATGGGTGATTTCACATCATATTTCAGTTCACATTTTATATTCGGGCAAAAGTATTTTTTTTCATTCCTTGGAGACAAGAAAGGTATACATATTTTAAAAACTTTTTTTGGAAGCCAAATTTCCGAGTTATGAATTTTCGAAATTTTGAATTTTTAAAAGTAGAACTATTTACAATGACCTATAACTCGAAAATTATTGATTTTCGAAATTTTTCATCAAGAGAAAAAAAGTTTGGTTTTTCTTCAATTTTCAAATAAAATTAACAAAAATTTTTTTTTGTTTTGAATTTTTATTTAAAAAATCACATTTTTTTAACAAATTACTTTTATTTCAATTTGGATATTTTTTCAATTTTTTTTGCTTTATTTTTTAACTGGGATATATAAGAACAGTTTTGATATAGTTTTAGAAAGGGCCTGATAAAACTTCCTGTTTATATAATAGGTTATAATTATAATAATTAAATATAATAAAAATTAAAATAATACAAAATGGATCAAAAAGTATTTGAAAAAATAGAAAAAAATTATTTTAGTTTATTCATATTTTTCGGTTATCACTGAATTTTTTAAGTTATTTCGGATAGAAATGCGTTTAATTTTGATCATGTAATTTTTTTTTCTTTTATTTAAAATTCATTTTACATGAAAAAATCCGGTTTTTAGACTATTCTGTCACTTGAAGCTCTAAAACTTTTTAAATTCTGCTTAAATTTAAAAAAATCCTAGAGAAAAAAGTAGTTTCCCTTGACCTAAACTATAAGACTGCGTAGCTGAAAAAATTAAATTTTGAAAAAAGTGAATTCTTGAAAAAGTTGTCGTTTTTTTAATTTTTGTCGAAAATGGCTGGCGCTAACGAACTTAACCTGTATTTTCATACTATCTTTGAGTGTGCCAAGTTGCAAGTCGAACCGATTTGATTTTCAAAAGTTATTGTGTCAACAACATTTTGTCTACAGACAGACAACCAGACCTACACTTTTTCCGAACCATGATTTTTCGACCAGGGCACCTTAAAACGTGAAGATTTGATGGAATTAGCAAAAGTCAATTTTCGCACACAACTAATACCTTCTCATGTGATAAGAATGTAATAAATATAAGTATAAATAATTTTATCCTTCTTCTCTTTTGTAGAACAGAAACTTTTTTTTCACTAAAACTCTTCATTTTCCTCAAAGAAGAGCAAATTAAAATACATTTTGATTAAAAAAAATGAAAAAAAGACGCAAAAATTTTTTTTGTTATAAAATAATTATTTAAACAAAAAGTTTTATCAGTCTAGGACTATATGTAAACTGTTCTTATTATTGCCAGCTAAAAAATAAGGCAAAAAAAATTGAAAAACATCCAAATTGAAAGAATAAAAAATTATGATTTTTAAAATGAAAATTCAAAAAAAAACTTTTTTGTTAATTTTATTTGAAAGTCGAAGAAAAGCCAAACTCTTTTTCTCTTGATGACATTTTTCTAAAATCAATAATTTTCGAATTGTAGGTCATTGAAAATAGGTCTACTTTCAAAAAATCATAACTCGACAATTTGGCCACCAAAAATAAATAAATAAATATGTATACCTTTTTTCTCTTCAAGGAACAAAAAAAATATCTTTGCCCGAATTTAAAATGTGAACTGAAATCTGACTTGAAATCACCCATTTTCTTTTTTTTAAACAATGGGAAAAAAGTTTTTCTTTTTTTCTGATAAAATTATTATTTTTAAAAATAAAATTTCGATAAATTTTGTCTTTATTTTCTATAATACAGACTATTTATTTTACTTATAATGTTTGTAAAGCTTAAATGTTCTACATCTGTCTTTTTTTATCTGGAATTTAATATTCTTCTGATCAGGGAAAAAGTCAAATTTTTACCTGGAAAACCGGGAAAAGTCGGGGAATTTCAAATTCAAAATACTGTAGCAACCCTCTCAAATATTATTTAAGTATGATTTTAAATTTTACAAGGCAAAATATGTTTTAGTTGTTTTTAAATAATTTATTTAAAGAGTCAATAGATTGCAAGGTTAGAAATTTTTTACCATAAAAAATTTAAAAAATTTTAAAGTTTATTAAAATATTCTTAATTATATACCAAGATTGTACCTCAATTGATAATATGTGAGTTTCAAGCGATTCGATAAAAAATTGTGGGTTCCAGGTCTCGCTAATTAAGATAAAACAAAACTTTTTTTATAAAAATTGAATATTTTAAAATTTCTTAAGTAGTTGCAATATCCGTAATTATATATCGAGATTATATCCCAATTGAAATTATTTGTAAGTTTCAAGCGAATTGGTTAAATATTATAAGCTCTAGGTGTTGCTAAGTATAAATAAATCATTAATTTTTCGGTTTTTTTAAGGTAATTTTTATAATTTGTGACGCGTCGCCAAGAAAGGGACCTAAGCGTCCAAGAATTGTAGGTTAAGTTTGTGTCAGTTTCATATTGATTAAATCTTTTTTTTTAATTGTGTAACAGTAAAAGCAGTTTTTAATAAATATTTTCGATATAATGAAGAGATAAACATTAATGGTTAATATTGAAAATTGATCCACTTTGTACATTTTCTTTTCAATTATGGCAAACATAACCTGAAACTCCTGGACGCTTAGGTCCCTTTCTTGGCGACGCGTCACATTTCTCAAAAATCTTATACTTTTTTCACCAGATGTTTTTTCTTTAACATTTTTTACCCGTATAAAAGCTTTGAACATAATCGGTAAAGAATCTTTTGAGATATCCAATTTCGCTCAAAAAATGCCGATATTTTGCAAAAATAGTTTAGCGGTTTTTTTATTATCACTTGACGTCGATTCTTTACCACGAACCTTGATGTTTTTCGTTTGTGATACTTAGTTTTTTCTTCAACAACTTTTTAAAGAATTAAAACTTATTGTTTTTAAATAAATTGTTAAATACATTATGATAGATATTATGAAAATTAAAAGAAAATATTTTGTGATTGATAACGGGATTATACGAGATTTTTAATAATTTCCTAAATGTCAACTCTTTTGCACAATAATCTTTGGGTCATTTCATTATATTTCGCCTAAAGTCGTTGCGGACTATTTTTGAAAAAAATTAATACTTTCAGAAATGATTCTATATGAAAAAATGCGAATCTTGCGGGAATACATAAGTTACTAATTAATAAAGACACTTCTCTTAACTTTGCGGTGGAAAACGTTTGA